TCGTCCTGCCCGGGGTGGGGGGAGCCGCAGTCCCCCAAACCGCCCTCTCCCCATCCTGTCAGACTAGCATCTTCTGTCGGTGGCTCCGGCCTTTTGGTGATGGCAGAGACACCACGCCAGGCTTCCCGGCTGCTGTTTCTCACGCCGGGGGCCTCCCAAACCAAAAGTTCTGTCCTCAGCCGAGGTGCAGGGGCCTTGGGCACCACAGGCGCATCTCGGAGAACGAGCCTGGGCTTGGTGTGGGTTTGTCCTGGAGGGGTCAGCCCCTGCCGGGCGCTTTGCAGGAGATTCTCGCACAGGAGCAGCACTTTCTGTGACTTCTGCTCATGTTTTGATCAGTGGTACCGTCACTGTTGTGACCCCGAGTTTTGCCCTGGGGGTCTCTGACACCTCTGCCGGTGCAGCCGAGTTCCATCCATCCGAACACCAAATCAAAACATGGCTGAGAAATCAAGATTTTTTTGCTTGTCAAAAATGCACACTTATACTTTGGTTTCATCCTACCCATCTCACCCCTATTTTAAGAAGCTTGGACGTTTGTCTGTTTACACTTGTACCCTTCATTGTCTCCAGCCTTTTCTGATAACTCTGATGAAAAAGAAAATACATGCATTCTTGCCATATAGAAATACGCATTTATGTAGGAGATAGGCGAGGATGATTTCAGGGACATTGTCTGTATTTTCATTTTCACTGGTACCTTTTTCACTGATCCACAGAACACCGGGCTGACTTTAAAGCTCGTTATTTGCTTCTCTCTCCTTGATGAAATGCCTCTAAAAATGATCATTTTGCCTCCTTACCTGAGCTATGGACGTGAAACATTTGGTCAGACACAGACGGGTAAACAGTCGGGGCCATCAGATCGGGTTTGGCATGTGATATCATCCCTCCTGCTTTGACTTCTACGTTTAAAAGTCCTTTCAGCCAGTGATTTGACAACAAAGCTACTTAAAAAGCATTCAGATTCGCTTAGAAAGGACTCACACCTCCCTGTCTGCGCTCCTTTCTCCAAGATTATAAATACGTAAACCTCCCGACATAGGAAAGTATTGCTGATTTGCTGGACTAAACAGGGAGGCATTTTCACCAGCAGTGACTGTTGAAAATTACCAGCCCTGAGGAAAAAAAATTCCAGCAATAGAACAAAAACCTTCCCTTCCAAGCATCAGGTTGAAGTCCTCTCAAACGACCACAGACCCCCGTGGAAAATGGTTTTTCTCTGTTACCACTCACAGCCTCATGCTGAGAACGGTGGAGATACCACACTGACCCGAAGGGAAAGACGCAGTGTTCAGAAGGACTGTTCTTGCTACGGCTGCAGCCTTCGTAGCTGTGGCATCTGTGCGTCTGTGTTGTGAATCTAAGTGAGATGCCCACTTGTGGATACAGACACGTGAAAATATATGTGTCCACAGTCTATTTTAATAAACTGCCAGAGTGTTGAATTTTCACACACTTTATGTGGCGTCACTGCCACTAAGAACAATTTCCCTAAACTACAGGACTCCTTTATTTTAAACTCTGCTGGAACTGCCCGCCTCCCCCTAAAAGCAGGTGACTATTGAAAGATTTTTTTGTTGTTTAATTCTAAATAACAAGAGGGATAAAAATGAATGTCATTTTCTGAGGTCTGAACAATAAAATGTAAGCGAGAGTTAGCCAGGGTCTGGTAAATGGCTAAGCAGATTAGTAGCCTTACTTTTTAACATATAAACATCTGAAACCCGTTTCCTGTTTAAGAAGGGGGAAAAAAGTCTAGGTGGATGACCTCGGGCACTTTTTTTTGATTAACAAACGTGAATTGTACATCACGGTGGGAAAAAAAATGGCCCACACTTGGTGGTCTTTCTACAGTCTGTATACGGGAGAGAGAGAGAGAAAAATACAAAAATAAACGTTACCTTCTCACTTTCCGGGTGGGCAATGCCATTTCTGCAGCGGCGTCCAGGGCTCTGGTAAGTGTTAAGGCTGTCACCGCGGACAGAATCTCCATGGTCTGTGCGCCTCAGTAGAGCCCGAAGAAAAACATTCCCTGCATACTTGCTGGCGGGTCCTATCTCCAGGCCTCGAGCTCGGCCCTGCAGGCTCGTGTCACCCCGACAAGCCGCCCGGACGTGGCTGCTCTAACCCCACGCCGTCCCCGGCCAGCCCGGCCGCGGGGTGAAAACCGGACCAATTTACTGCCTCGACCCGGAGGCCACACAGGGTTGACTCCTAACCTTCGGGACGAAGCACCAGCTGCAGTTTGTTCAGCCAAAAAGAGCTTAGCGGTTCTGACACATTCTGACAAGATACATTTTATAGGGTTTGTGCTAAAATTTGATATTGGAAGTTGGGATTCCAATTTTATGTCTCAGATGATAACATTAGCAGCTGGGACCTTTAAGAAATGTGTGTATTCCTTCCATTAAGAGTTTCATAATAAAAGCTATTTATGTCAGACACCTTATAAGGCAAAGATTTAGCCCAAATGTCAATATAACATATAATACACTTTTTATATTCAGATGGGGAAAAATCCATTATCATTATATTAGTTTCCATTATCTATATTAGTTTGGGTTTGGACTATTAGATATATGGGGGCTTTTAAATTTTAAAGTAAGATCTTATGCTTTAATTTTCAGATTCATTGAAGTGCTTCTTTTTGGTGTTATTTCTGTGTGTTTGTGTGTGTGTGTGTAATAATATATATATTAAAAAAAACACCCAAATGCGGATACATCATTATTTGTTTTTTCAAGTCCTTCTGATGAAAAGACACAAAAGAAGGCACACTTTTATGCTGTTTGATTTGATTTTGATCATTTCCAAGCAGGCAGTAAAAAGAGTCCCCAGCCCGTAATCACTGAGGCTTCTTTTGTTCTCCGGAAGCACTTGCGGCCTTGGAGAGGGACTGGCCGGTCAGACCTTCCCTAATTCTAATGAACAAACAGAGCCACAGCGAAGAAGGAGGCGCTCCCCCGGGAAAGCAGCAGTGGCGTGCCGGCTCAAGGCAGCACCCGCAGCTGGATTCCAGGGGGGCTTCCAGCCGCCTCCTGCCTTCCTCGGGACATCGCACCGAAGCGTTCCGAGGAGGGTGACTCTCCTGCCAAGTAGACCGGGGTTTCTGCTGAGGCTGGTTGCTTAGAAACGACCGTGCCGCCCTGCTGGGCGGCTTGTTAGGAAACCTCAGCCTCCTTCTTACCTCGTCTGCTCAGACGAAGAGCAGAGCCTGACTGAGGTGAGAAGAGAGCCCCAGTTAGCAAAGCTGGGAGATACCCAGCCATCCCGTACGGGTCAGGTCCTCTTTGACTTATGGGACAAGTGTGACCGCGGGTTAATGAGAAAAGCCCTGCAGAGGCAGGAACCCTCGTCTGGACGCTGTAGGTCCTCCCACGTGGGTCAGCAGCCCTGTCCACCAGGCACAGAGAGGCCACGGGGACAAATGCAAAACCCCCTTCTCCTCAGGCCCTGTTGGAAGCAGCTGACCCCAGCTTAAACTCAGCCAAATGCCAGCTTATTGTCTTTTGTTATTAAGTCACAACTGGAATGTAACAGCCCCCAGACAAACACAATTTAAACGATAACTTTTTATTAAGCCTCTCCCTTCTCTTTGTGAGAAATTTGGTTCGGCCTCCACGGAGGCTCTTTTCCTTTCCTTTTCAAAGGAGAGGCCATCAGCCCTCACCTGGCGTCCCCGGCCAGCCTCGCCGCCAAGTGTCAACACTTACAAAGGCCACCCCTCTCCAGGTGGACGGCGGCATTTCATGTGCGGATTTCATGTCCATTATAAGACGACTGTCAGACAGAACCGTGCTCCAGGCCGTGACTGGGACGGGTGGCTGAAGACAGTGTGAATATTTGAGATACAAATGCTCGTGTCCAGAGGCATCTGCAGGCACTTGGTACTTGTAACAGATTTACCTACATCCTCTCCCAGCTTCTTAGTGACCCTTATGGTGACTGTCACCGCCCACACGTAGCACGAGGAAATGGAAGACAGGAAAACTAGCTCCTTTTCACAGAGAGAAGGGAGACGGGAGGCTCGGCAGTGTGTGATAATCACACCGGCCACGGCCGGTCTTCGTGGGGGCATTGAGAGGTGCTGGGAGTGCTAGGCTGCTCCGCTGGCTTTGGGGGCAGGCTGATTTGACCCCTACAACAACCCTGGCTGGCAGGCATTCTTGTTGCCTTCCTTCTATGGAAGAGGACATTGAGGCAGAGAGAGGTCAGTCCATCTTTGAAGACCAGTCCCCTGGAAAGTGACAAAATGAGAGTCAGAAGCCACCACCAGCCACCTGCCAGCAGAGAGGTTGTAGCCTCTGGGCTGTGACATCAGGGTCCAATATCAGCAGTGAAAGCCCAGGTCAAGCCCCAGCCTGTCGCCTGGGCAAGTGACTTTACCATCCCGAGCCTCAGTTTGCCCACCTGCAAAGTGGGGCTGGTAATGTCCCCATGTCATGGAGTTGTTTCAGGATCATGTGGAACAGGATAGGAAAAGTGCACATCCCTCCAGAGG